TTTTTTTTTTTTTTTTTTTTTCCTTTTTTGTCATTTTTGAGTGACTCTAGCAGAAAGATTAAACTAAATCAAAAGCACGTTATTTTTGATGTGGTTGGATGTTGGTTGAAAATATGAGGAAAGAGAGAAAATCCACACAGGTTCCCATCCCTTTCTTCACCCCAACAAATGTATCTTTAATATTGTTCTATACCGATTTTATTTTTACAGACTTTGTTTTGAATCGGCTGACAGATTGCTTTTTCTCAGGGAAATGATTTATTAGATTATAACCAACAGACATTGTGTAGATATGGATTTAATTATTCAAATAAGTCTTAAGTTTGTGATCTGAAAACTTGCTTGAACTCAGTAGACCTGCATCCTGTCTAAGCGGCACATGCTTTGTAGATGGTGCGGCTTGTGGAGTTCTAAGCTGTTTGTACTTAGGTGGGGCGTGAAGTCGAAATCGTATACTCCGATTGTTCTGAAAAATAGATGGCCCAGGAAGGAATACAAATCCGGGAGTTTTAGGAACCCTAGTGTACGTGAGAAGGCAAGAGCCCAGTTACAGAGGAACTCGAGCTTCTGCTGTGGAGGTTCTTTGACCTTTCTCAGCCCTGGTGGTACCTCCCGTTTCCAGTAGTTTCCAGAGTTGTGCTTTTGTGCAATTTTAGATGCACTTGTTGTGTATGCTCTGAGGCACGAGCGAGTTGTAAGGGGGTGGTATTTCTGGCTTGCTACCAAAATCGAGCAGGGGTCGATTTTAGAGTTTTCTTCCGTGTTGTTAAGAACGAACTTGACAGCGATCTTCTATGCTGAGGGCATGACAGTTCTTCCCCTGAGAGGCAGAGACCCAACTCAGCAGACCTTTATTTATTTATTACACATGCCTCTGCTCTGTATGTATGCGCGTCATCCAGGCGCGAGCAGCGTTCCTCGACTTAATGAAATCTGATGAAGCACCTTTTTAACTCTGCAATATTATTCTACCTTCATTGGTAAATGAGCCAAATCAGTGATCCATGCAGTTTAAATGCAAAATGCCGAAGTGAGCCCGAAACCTGGAGAGGCGGCTGTTCTCCTGACAATAAGCTAGTTGTGTTTAATGGAATGAAACACAGTTATAATGATTTCTTTCACAGGTCATGTTCAGTTTAAAACTGTTGATAGATTGAAATACGTTAAATATCATTTATCTTTTATTTATAAGGGAGAAAAACGGGACAATTCCTGTATTGTATTTTAGAGTTAATTTTTGTGTTTTTATTTCACATTTCCTCCTCGCAGCTGTCCCTGAGTTCCCCTAAATGGGCTGGGGGAACATTATATATCTAGCTGGATCTTGTCATGTGTCCTACTAGCCACTGTGTTTTTCAATTAGAATCTCTGTGAGATCACACTGTTGGAACAACACACAAATTGTAGTTTTAAATCAGTAATATGATCTAATTAGAAATGATGTTTTCATTTCCTATATTATTAAATTGAGTCATCTGACTATCTTAAACTGTTTTTTGAATCCATTACACTATATAATCAGTGCGTGCTGTGAGTGTAGTTGTGCTTAAGAAAGGAGGCAAACTTGGAACCTCGTAAGAATTGGAATGAGAAAACTGCCATTAAAAAAGAAAGTTGTGTCAGTGTGAACATTGGACAAGAAAATGTTTAGCTTATAAATTAAAACAGTGTGGTTCTTTTGGAACCCTTCCTACCACCTTTTGGACCCTAAATCTTTACGGAAAAAAATTCATAGAATCATGTGCATTAAAATAAAAAGCCCCCCACTGAAGTCCCTTAAGAACAGGTATGCCATGTTGCTGCAGGAAAATGCAGTTTAGCACTAGAAATGCTGAACCTCAATTTTTAGCAGTGACATTTTAATGATAGGAAGTCTGCAAAATTATTTGCCATCAATTGTGAAGGCAATAACAAGCCTTGGTGGTTTTTCACACTCTCCGTGTTAAGTGCTTTCAGAATGACAGCGTAAACTGTGTTAGAGAACTCCAAGGAAGTAAAACTGATTAAAATGTTCATGCTTGAATGGTGCTGATGGAATAGTTCATTTGGACTTTCTCTACCTCCTGCAGCTCAAGCTGAAATATTAAAATTCAGTGGATTTAAATCTCTCTCCTCTCAGCTCAGGAAAAAAACATTACATTTTAATAGGTTTTAAACCCATAATTCATTGGTTTGGAGCAGCACTATTAAATCTATTTAAATATTACTTGTATTACTAAGGAAATGATTTAAATGACTTTGCTTTTACCTCCTATGTGTTTGAGTTTAAAAAAAGAAAGACAATACCTTGGAGGGGTTGTTTTGTCCCCACTTGTAGCACTTTGTTTTATTGTCCTTGTCATAGGATTGTGTCTTAAATTGCTTACATATTTGTGTGTGCCTTTGTGAGTAAATACTCATTCATTCGTTCGTTCTAGACTGACGTTCTGAGAGGGTCTTGCAGTGTGACAATTTTAAAATGTGCTCCCCTCCTTTTCCATTATAGATTTCAACATTGCCATTCCAAGTGTCAAAGGCATTTGGATGAGCCATTGTGGTAATTTTCACAAATTAGCCATTAGACAAGAAAATGGAAAGATGCAAATGGGTGGCAGTCCCCAGTGTGAGTGTGCTGTCCCCTCCCTTACATTGGAAGTAAGTGACATAGACACCCCTGTGGACACACGGCCTCCAGTTACACAAAACTTGAAATAAAATGTAAAGTGTACTACTTTCTTAACAAAAATGAAAATGAATTAAAGTATCCAAGAGCAGTATTTTCATTCCTTTATATTTGTTCATGAAGAGCCTTCCAAGGGCACCGTTTTGTTGTGCTTTTGGCTGTACCCAGAGAGCTAAATAAAAGCAGCATTGTCCTTCATGGGCCCACTTTCTACCTCTCCGTCCTTTTCTCTTGTCATTGCACCTATGATATAAGTCCTAGGGCTTGGGTAGCAGAATGAAGGTTTCACTTCCTTCCAGTAGTTTTTTTGGGGGGAATG